GCTATTTTTTAATTTTTAAAATAAATAAATTCTTTTTTTTCTTGATTCTTTCCACAAAACATTTTTTAGATAGAATTTAATTTCAAAATAATTCTATAACCTTGCTCATATTTATTTGTATTATCTTATCTAATTTTCGCGTATACAATCGCCATCGTAAAGTAAGAAAATTTTTCTACTCAAAATATACGATTTTTTAAAACAATTTAATTGATTTCCTAATTCTTATCGAATTCTCATAAAACAATAAAATATTATTATTATAAAATTTATTAGGTTATCTGCGCGGTAATATTATTAATGTTATATAATAAAAATTGATCACTTGTGGCTAATTAATTAAGTAAAATTAATGTTATATTTATGTATTATGTGATTAATTTAGAACTATAATATATTCAGCCGTTTTTCTTGTGTATAACGAAAATTTAAAAACTAAAAAAAAGCATTTCTGATTAAAGGCTTTTTTTTTATTTGTATGATTTATAAATGCTCATGATCGTGATTTTAAGCACATAAAATGATAGTTTGTATTAAAAATAAAAAATTCAGAGTTAAATAATTGTTTATATTATTATAGTGTAATAATTGATAAAATTATTATTTTTAATGAAAACCTGTTAAACGTATAATTAATAAAATCTATAATCTGTATCTATTTAATAACAGAAAAGAAAAATCTTTTAATAAAACTAATTTTAACTGTATTTCAAAGCTGATTAAAAATTATTTATTTATTTTAATTATTTAACTAACTGAAATTGAGTAGTATTATTCGCTTTTAAGAACCATTACATCATTAATTGACAATTTGTTAGGATAACAACAAGTATTTGCTTTTATGTAGTAATAAAATTACTTAATAGATCAACAGGGGGCGTAGCTCAGATGGTAGAGCGCTCGCTTAGCATGCGAGAGGTACCGGGATCGATACCCGGCGCCTCCAAATGAAATTTTGCACTTTCCAAACAGTTTTTAATTAAACATTTATATGTAAATTTTTAGATGTAAATTGGTAATAATAATAATAATTTTTAAAACACAATAATCAAGGAATTTTTTTTGAATTTAACTTTGATTTATAAATTATTTAATTATGTTGTATTCGTATAAAATAATTCATGATTACTGTGTATACATATGATGATAATGTGTATACATTACAAACTTGGCATTAATACCATGATAAGAAATTAGATAAGGCAATTATTACTTATCACTCTCATTCAAAAGTATATTGAAAAGATGGCGTTTTCTTCTGTCCTTTTCTCAATACGTATTTCAATGTTTAATACCGTAAAATAATAATGAAAATTCAAATTTTCACAAACTTCAAAATGCTACAGAATATTTACTACTGAATATTAATAAGATAATTTTTTACTAAAATTTTTCTTAAATTCTACTCTACAAAATAGCTATCTTAGATTTTTTTTTTACATTTTATTTAAAATTTAAAAATAATTAATATTTTTAATAAAATGTAAAAAAATTAATTATTGAGATATAGCTATAGACCTAACGTATAACTATTATTTAAAAAAAAAATCAACTAAAAATATTAACTGGATCAAAAGTTATTTAAGTTGTCAGTGAGTGGTGGGCCTCTCTGTATAGTATATATTTTAAGTATAACAACATAATATGTTGTTAAAATAATTAATATTATTAATTATTTTACTGATTTGAATAATTTAACTAACTGTATCTATGAAATTATACTTAACCTATTAGGTTTTCAATACTTAGATATAGTTACTAATGATACAAACTATGATTTTTTTCTAATATTAAACATTCCTTTTACATACCTAGCAAACCTTTATAATGAACAAAAATTCCAAAACGTCTTAGTGTATTAAGAGATTAAAATTGAGTCCTAAATATTTCGTAAGAATGCTTCAAAAAGGAAGTTGGAGAAAAAAATTATTAAGTAATTTGTGATATTATTTAGTAATGTGTTGTTCTTGTTACGATATGGCACTAAGCATAAAACATGAATTAAAATTTAAAATGTTGAGTTCTTAAATTATCGTATTTAGTCTTTATTATTAAAAAAATGCGCCAATTAGGGAGGTATAATTATTATTATTTACACAATAATTTCTTTATAATAGAAAAAAATGTAATTTTAATTTCAATAAAATTGTATGATTATGTTAAAGTGCAATTCAATAGATTTGACAATAGAGGTTACCTTTCAGAAAAATACTTGCTAAAATTAATTAAAAACGTCTTAAAATTAACATTAAAAAGGTCATGATTTCAAGCCCATGAAATACATTTTTTTAATAACCCTCTAAAACCCAGTTCCATTTCGTTATTAAAATTAAATAAAAACAATACTTATTAAACAACAGCGATGAAATTTATATAACACTAGTATATATATATATATATATATATAATATAAACATGTATATATATTCTTATGTGTAGTGTATTTTAATGAAATACATTTATTTTCAAATACACGTCTTTAGTACATATGACTTTTCGTATAAATAACTTTCGAATATGTGATCTGTTCCTTTCTTTAGTACGACTACCCAACCTTATCTTGTTCGATAAATTGAAAATATTTCGTTCACTATTCCTATCCAAACACACCACAGTGTTTAGTAATTAATTTTATTATTTATTACATATTAAAATGCATATTATCAATGGTGTTTACAGAGGTGAGTCAGTGATGCCGAAAAAGTTCTATTAGGGCAGCTGTACTGCTTGTAAAAGAGTTGGGTGGTTGGTTGATGTTCGTCATGTAAATCAATCATTATAAATGATTAAAATATCAATGATTAAGTATTAAAAATATAAACATTATCAAAAATTTACTAGATATAATATACGAATCATACTGATTTATTAATAGACCGACTGATTGAAATTGAATGTCTGTCATCAATTGTTTAATAATTTCCGAATACGAAAACTATTTACATATACAGTAATAAAAATAAACTCTGTAAAGTATATTAAACACAACATTTAAATAATTTTTATGCATTTTAGCTTTAATGCAAAGCTAAGAAGGTATTGGTTTTAATGATATGTTTTTTTTTCTGTTAATGAAAATTCTGAGCTCTTATTGGACCGATTTTGATTATCTTTGCATTAAACGAACCTATTAACGAATCTAGATGAACTTATCATATTGAAAATTAGAAAAAACAATTAAATTTAAAAAAAATATCTTAAAATTACAATACCGTAAAAAATGGTATTTTAAAAAAAAATGTTTTGCATATAAAAATAATACAATTTTTTTTAACACAATCCTAAAAAAATTTTAATAGGGTGTAATAAAGACAATTAAATCTTTCTTTTGGTATGCTTTTATTGAAAATCCATTAAAAAAACCTACAGATGAGTTTAAAAGAGACCACACACAAATATTTAAAAACTTTTTCAATTCAAATTTTGAATATATTTCGGATTGACTGTGTTATTCCAACCAAACTATGTTATTCAAACCTATATCAAATTAACATCCCACGATTATTTTAATATGAGAAATTGGTCGTCAAAGAAAAAAATTACAAATAAACTATTTTCAATTCACCAAATATTTTAACGAGCACTTAACATTTGAGTGAAATTACAAAAAATAGTTATGACAATCACTGTCACATATCTATATTTGTCCCAACTTTGTCACGTCCCCACTGTACCGGATTTTTTCTGTTGAGGGGCTAAAAATTTTTTGGATATCATCAAAATAATTTTCTTAAATAACTAAAAAAAATCATCCAACAATATAAAACCCAACCCAACCTAGTTTTGAAAAGAATTAACATCCCCTCTCTTAATCCGACCTTGGTTACACCACTGCATATTATCATAAAACACTCGGCAGTTTTAATACAACCAAAGCCCGAGAGTAAAGTCGTTTATTTTTTTTTATTTTTTAAATCTTAAAAATAAAATTGCTTATTATTAGAATTATTGCAATCATAATTTATAATTTAAAGTTTTTTTATGGTTATACAACTTTGCTCATTATGTTGATGTAGTTCATTTATTTTTACTTTTCCATAACAAATCTCAATATAATTTTTTTAAAAGTTGTAGTTTCGAAAAGAAAAAATTAATAAATTACACGTAATTCGATTTTTAAGGAGAATTCAAACTTAAATTAAACAGTCTGCATATTAAAAATTTACTTTATTATAAACTTTTTTTAATATAAATTTTCGGATAAAATTGTGGAATTGTACTTTCAAAAATTATTTAAATATTAAACAGATAAGTATAATTAAATTTAATCTGATAAATTTAACGATATAAGATATATTTAGTTTTATAAATTGAATCGAAATCTGAAGAATTTTAATTACTCTACTGATAATTTATTTAAAAATGCGTACAATTCACAATTATATCTTTGAAAACTAAAATTCAGTTTAACATTTTTTTTATTAATATTGTAGTTAAATAATCAACCATATTAAGTAGGTTAAGCAATTGAGTTGTATTTTCTAGTTAGACGATATGAATTATAAATGTAAGCCATTAAATATTGACACCATATGAAATACATGATATAAAGTACAATTAAAATTATTGTAATTTTCTATTTTTGTTTAATTGCAATATAAAAAGAAATTCATGTTCATTTTATATAAATATTACTGCTATACTTCACTTGCTCTTTTGTAAAACCTTTACAATGTCCATAATGCTAAGAATAAATAAACAAATTTACCACTTTAAAAGAAATATGATTTAATCAATCAATTTATTGATATATGTATAGATGAACATTTTCAAGACATTACAAGTATTGTAAAAAAAAAAGACTGTCAAAAAATTCCGCGAAAAGAATAATGAAAAAATATATTTTTAAACAATATTTGTCAAATATGCACATACTTAGATATACTTAGATATGCTTCATAAATTTTAGATGTTCATCTTAAGTATGAATTACAAAAAGTATCTTGAAGTTTCTATAACCCGCAATTAAATTTATAAGTGAAATTTAAAAAAATACTTACCATTGTTGGATAGCCCCGTACGTGAACACATAGCATCGCAGCAATAATTGTGACTATGCTGTATACCATTGTTAAATCGCTTTTTGTTCAAATTATGATTGATCAGTTACCACGTGATTTTAACTGTTATTCAGGAAGATCAACAGCTTGTTCGGACTTTAAGTTAAGTCTATCGTTAGCGTCAATTCAGAGTGCACACAATCTTTTTGTGTCTTTACTTTTTTTATTATTCGTACGGATCCTTCAGATTTATCTTCGTGAGCACTAGTACTTCATATATCTTAGTACGTGGATTTGCTGCGTTAATAGGACACGAGGAAACGGTGAAGAAGACTGTCCAGTATCGTTGGCGGCCGAATAAGTGCGGGTATCCTAAATGTTGATGCCCATATATATATATTTATATTTAAGCACACGTTACTGTATATGGATAGTACGCGCGCACCACCGCGGCAACAGCTCCGCCTTTAGCACCAACCCCCGAAAACTTGCCTGACAACAGCGGCGGCATGCGGTGGCGGTAATGGTTTTTTTTTTAATAATTTTGTACACTATAATACCAAACAACAAACTCTTGTGGTCATTTTGCATCTAGTTGTTATAAATGGCTTCAATTAAAATAAAAGTTGTATTTTTTTTAGTAAAAAGTCCAATAAAAACGGTCTTTTGTTTAGTAATGCCTTGAGCAGTGTACAATTATTACTTTTTTTCATATCGAGGTACACCCTTAAACAGGTTGTTTCAACTAGACAATTGTTATAGACTATTTGTTTAAGATAAATCCATGAGGCAAACAACGTTTAAATGATCTACTTACACTGATTATTTCGCAAATGTTCGTATCGCTTAGCACTTGCGTCACTTTTGTTTGCACATAAACAAAAGAGCTAGTAAAAAACAAAACAATGATGATTTTAAGTCCTAAAATTCTACATATTTAATTCATGAAATTTTAGTTTTAAGTTAATTATTCATGACGTACCACAATAAAGTTGAGCGAACAACTATGATGTATGTGTAGGAAACAAAAACGGATACACATCGTTACAAAACAAAACAGAATTATGTATACTGTACAATTTGAGTTATAAAGTGTTTTCGAGAGTTGATAAAGTATGTTTTTTTAAATTATTGCTGTAATTTTAAATGTTACTGTAGCGCAAATATATATATATATATATATTGCATGGTTAAAACTTTTAATTGTTGTATATTTTCCAAAAAGACTTTTTACCGCGAAAATAATTTTATCAATAAATCTAATCATAAATAAACAATTTTTTCATCTTAGTTTATTAATTCATATTTTTCAAGTAATATTCAACAGTGTATTTGGTGGTTCTATAGGCTCAAGCCTATAACAGCATTTTATTAAACATTGTAAATAGTTAGTATTTTATAATTGTGTTATAAATTCAACCTTATTGAGAAAATAACCGAAAATCTAGTCTAAAATACTATAAAACGATAGTTATAATTTCCCATTACCTCAAAAATTATAATAATTTAGGTTCGCAGCTCTGTTAAAAAAAAAAACATAAAGATTAAAAAATATTATTCGATTTTCCTATATTATTTACTATTTTACTCTTGAATATAGCTACAAGTTTAAAACTAACACTAAATTATAACAAATCATCTAATATGAATTGCAATTGTTGGCGCCACTTAGGGAAATCTATAATTGAGAATAAAGGGCTCTTATTCTGATTTTATTTTTTAACTAATGCTATTGCTACATCATTTTAATTCTCCCCACTTGCTGCTGTTTTATACCACTTAATTTTCCCTCTATCACAAAGCATTATCAAGATTCAGTAAGGAGATATTTACAATTGATGCTTTTGCTTTGACATTCTCTCCTTCTGAAAAATTATCATTGCTCAATTTCCTATCAAAAAATTAGACTGTCGTTTGTTTTCTGGTTTAACTTTTACTAAAATTATCTAATGGAGATATCTTAAGCGTGATGCCTATTATATATGTGTAGTGTAAGGAAGTATAAAGTTGTCTAAACATGCTTGTTTGACAAATTTATACTCCGTTATATCTATTTTTCTTGTAAATTTATTTTAAATAATTACACGAATAGATAGAAATAGACATTTACGTAATAAATTATTTTTTTTATTAAATTGTATTAATATATTTTTTAAAAACAAAACAAAAATAAATAACTACAAAATATTTCTATTAGCTTTCTAAATTCAAGTTTGCAATCATAAATGTATACTCAAATTATTGTCATCTCTAACTTAAATAATGTGTTTACACTTTGCACCGAGGATCAAAGTTATTTTTTTCCAAACTGGATAAGTCAATAATTCCAAAAAAATATATACTTTATTATATATAATATTATTTATTGAGAAGGGGAATCAATTTTGTCAAATTATTTGAGTATATTAAAGTATTTTCAAATATATTTTTACGTACTTAAGTGAGTAGATTTAAAATTTTCATACTAATGTTATGATATAATTTAATGTTTACACATTTTCTGATGTATGTTAACGATTTATTATCACCTCTTATATCTCATTAAATTCAATTTTCTTATTACTTGCTTAAATTTGTTTTAAGTACAACAAATAATTTATGGAGCCATTTCATATGGAAAATGACTAGAAATGACTCCAGTAAAATGGAGTATAAGCATCTAAAGTTTTTACATATGTACACATCATAGTTATGTGCGGGTGCTATCGACATGGCGTGGACAATGATAATTTTAACACTTACACTGACGTCTGTTAGTTTTAGACACCTGCACGACTTTGCAATAATTCCCACGATTTGTATAATAAATTAAAACTTATGAAGAAAACAGCCGGTACACTCTCTTAAGCCCGTATAATAGCAATAACGGCACATTATTTTAAGCATGTATTTACTCACTCACCTACATATTTACAGTGACAATTGAATTATGACTTTATATAGAACTTTTTTTATCAAAAATTAATCAATAGATAAAACTAATCTATAAATTTAATATCTCGCAGTAAATTAAAAATACAGGTACATATTATTTAAGACATTCTAATCTTTAGCTTGAGTTGATTAAAACTATTATGACTTTAATTTATGACTAGTAACTCCAATTCAATCCAATATATAGTGATGAATATATTAAAGTCATTATTTAATATATTAAATATTATATTAAATAATATAATATAATATATTATAATATAATATATTATATTAAATAATATAATATAATATATTAAAGTCGACCCGTCATTATTTTAATTGGATCATTTTCTATTTTATAAGCTAATTAAATAATTATGTTTCTAATGAAAAATTTCTAGTTGACACCTCTAGAATATATAAGGGATGAACATAAATTGTATTTTACAACAAACAAATGGAAATACAAATGTAACTAACAAAAGCTAAAAAGAAAATTCACATATAAGATATTATTTTAAGATAAATTGAGTGATTAGCGTTAAAAGAACAACCTGTACATATTTTTTGTGTTTATATAATCATAATTTTATAATATATTATATTATAAAATGAAGAATAAAAAAAATTTGTTAATTTTATTAACAAATTAATTTTATTTTGTAAAATTTTTTATGCATTATTGATTATTTATAAATAAATAAAAAGATAATTGGACACACTATTTCAACAGGAGTAAGGCAATATTTTTGGTGTATGGAACTTAAGCACTTCTAAATTCAAAACACTATTTGTATCTATGTTTAAGCCTCTAACTTCTGCTAATAAAATTTAAATAACTACTAATCAAAATTTTATATATTATAAAATAAAATATTTTCAATATTTTCTATGGTTTAATATTGCATTATTTTTAACCATAATAAATATCTCCTAAATGTTATTTATACTTGCATTTCATTCAAATTTTTTGAACTCAAAAATAATATGCGAATTTTTGAAATTCAAAGAATTATAATTTGCATTATGTAACTTTCATTCCTGTGATTTTTTTGCTATAAATATAATGAAAAAAACTCACCACTCTAGTAAGTGATGAACATCAAATTTATCCTTCAATGTATTATACAATTAAAATACCTTCTTTATATTTATTTTAGATATACAGAATGATTTAATTACCACAAACTACTTAATTAATCAAAAAATAAAAATAATAATAAATATTATTTATTTGTTTCTTTTAGTTTTAACCCATTTTTAATAAACCTTAATAAATATAAACCATATTAAATAATAGCCAAAATTTTATTTATCTTTAATAATTATAAACTCTGTGCAGACTATGATATAAGTCACACTATAGTGGAAAATTGACGATCTAGTTGGTAGCAATGATAGAAATGTGTATTATATGAATATTTCTAAAACTTAAAACTAAATTTTTTAAAATTTTTGAATATAAAACTTTTTGTTCAAAATATAAAAACAAATACAATTTTTTTCTTATAAAAATTTTATTTTAAGTAGTTTATTGTATCTATCATTTTATATTGAATTCTACTGTTTATTTATGTTTTTTTGATAAGATAGATCATTTTTTAGCAATAGTACTTTTTTTTATATATCCTTGAAAGTTATCATATACTATGATCATGTTAATTACACACATTTTTCTAATCCGTTGTTCATTCAAATGTATAGTTTCTATACAACTAATATTTGTCAGAGTCCCACCCCTTTGAATGTGGGATTCACAAATGACTGCATAAAAATACCAAATATCCTTATTCAAATATGGCACTGGTATTATAAAATCAACTATTTTACCATATAAATTATGATAAAATAATATGAGATAAAAATCATAAAAGATTTTCATAAACACTTAAAATAGTACTTTAATTCAAACTTTAGATTGAAAATAATAATTTTATATCATATGAAAATAAATTATCTAAAATTAACAATTTATTTTATAATTAAATTAACTTTTATCTTAATTACTGGAATATATTAATCCAATAATAATCTTTAAGTTTAAGGTAATAAGATATAATATAATGACCATAACATATATAAATTTTGTAAAATGAATAAAATTGAATTTTGAACCATATTACTGAGTTGGTGAAAATTGAGTAGGTTGTAATATTTTTGATTGCATCTCTTTAATTAAGGGAACTGTATAAGCAACACATTCATCCCATCCTGGTGATCTCCAAGCTGCTTCTCTGGTTTGAGTACGGATCTCCAAGTTTTTGTAGCCTGAAAAATTAATTAAATAAATATTTTTGGGTAATTTTTGAAATAAATAAAAAATTAAAAAACCTACACCAAAAATGATGAACATTATATAATCTGCCAACTTGTGAAAAGAATCCGGCAAATGGTTCATCATTTGAACGACGATGATTTATTGCACGAGCCCAATTGTTACCCCATTCTATCATTGTGCCTGGTTTCAAACTATAGCTACGAATTTCATAAATATTGGAACCCGATTTCAATTCGATACCTGGCCAAAAACTAAATGCAAGTAAGTATTGTAAATGTCTTGATCGTAAGTATCCACCACATTCTTTAGATAGTTTTTTAAAATCCTGCAATATTTAATTTATCACATACAATTTTCTATAATAACTTATAGTATTACTCAGCTTACTTGACTACAAAATAAAACTTCCTTGGTTTTATCAATTTCTGCATAACCTCCTGTATATTTCCATAAATGAACATACTGATCTAAATCCCCAACTTGAACAGACCATGAACCTATAAGCTCATAATTTATATTTGGGGTGTTTTTGCATAATTGAACCATTTTTTCACTAAAATATAAACTATAGTTATTAAAAAAAATAAATGGTCTTGAGTCTAAAAGATAAATGTTCAGGGATTAAAAATCGAATTTTAAAACTTTTTATTTAATAGAAACAGATTTTGCCTATGTGATACATAAAAAAAATTACACATGAAACTATAACTCTTGATTTAATATGTAAAAAAATTAGTTAAAATTATAACAAAAATAGCACAGTGGGGTCGCGGCATAGTGGAGACATTGCATAGTAGGGTCCAGTATAGATTTAATCTGACAGTGATTAAAATCACTATCATAAGAAACGCTTCGATGCAAATCTGTAGATAGTGTTTAATTTTAAAAAATTGATGGATAATTGCAAAAGCAACATCAACTTCTATTAAAATAAAATACAAAACCCATAATTATCATACAAAAATAGTATATTTTTCAATATGGTAGCCATTTGCG